TCTGCCCCCCGAGAACGCAGGTCCCGAGAGCAAAGGCAGCTCAGAGCCAGGGTGGACACTGACGCTCCGAGCAGACCCCAGGCGAAGGCGCGCTCAAACCCTGCTCATCTCCCTGCGTCACTTGGCCAAGTGCCGAAGGCTCGGCGGGCCCGTCTCCTCACCTGTACAGTGGGACAGCGAAGCGCTCCCTTGAAAGGCTGCTGGTGGATGAGGTGAGCGACAGGTGCGAAGCCCTGGGAACCGGGCTCGTCACTGGGTCGTGGGCAGGTGAGGGTTAACGGGGACACCCGTCGGTGCAGGGACAAGCGAGGTGGTTTCAGTCACCACTGTGCACACTCAGAACTCAGTGTGGGGCCTGGCTCAACAGATATTGGCCAAACAAACGCTTCCACTCCCTGCCATGGGGACAGGGACAGGAACCGAGGGCACTGGGACAGGGTCTGGGGGCTGCAGTTTCTGGTCACCCCAGAGCTCCACCACCATCAATTCAAGACTGGGGTCTGTATGGTGCATGACCATAGGCTCCTTCATGGCACCAGGACTAAGAATGAGGCCAGATGAGCGCGTTTGGAGGGCCTTCTGCAGCATGTCACCTTCTTGGGGAAAATGCAATTAAATGGAGGTGAGCCAAGTCATGTCTGCCGTCCCCAGAGCAGCCCAACCACGTCAGCGGCCAGGGAGGAGGAAGTCTCAGCATCCTGGTGCTGGGCCAGGCCCTCCCTCCTGCAGCCCCCCCTCCTTCCCCTGGACACCCCCATGGTTTCTGGGTCCAGCCTCTGCCTGCGGAGAGTGGACAGCACACAGCGGGTGGCAGGGCCAGGTCCCGAAATGGAGAAATGGAGCATCGGTGGTCACTAAAGGCGGATCCCTTCCCAGGGCAAGGACTCCCAGAGGGGCTGGGCTGCCCGCCGCAGCCTGGGTCCTCACTGCAGTCCTAGACCTGGGGAGGTGCCTGCCCTGCCAGGTATGGCTGCAAAGGGTCCCCTTCCACAGGCTGAGCCCCGTCACCATGACAACTGGTGACCAAACAGCACTGTCCTGTTCCCTCGAGAGCAAAACCTCAGGGACAAACTGTCACCTGCTCTCCAAGCCACCGTCTTCTCTTTCCCTTTGTTCATTGTCCTCACCCCCCCACACCCCACCCCGTCACTACAGTCACATGACACCCTGAATCTATTTATTTTTATTTTTTTGGTGCAAAATCTGTCCCTTTAGAGCTTTCCGTTTAGCATAACGGGTCCCCCGCTGTTACGGAGAGCGCATTCGTAACCCTCCAGTCAGCCAAGGGGGACGTGTACGGAGGGAAATTGCGGAGGGAAATTGCGTGCCCGGCTCAGGAGAGGTCTCCAGCGCGGGAAGGGGAGAACGCATTTCATTTCCTGCATCCCGCATGGACTCTGATCCCAGGGGAGCTGCTGCCTGGCGGCCCTGTTGGGAGGGATTCAGATGCCCCTGGGGGCCCAGTCCAGAGTCTGTGATTAGCAAGGTGGCCAAACCACCAGGGCCCCTCAAAGAGGGATCCTCTGCCACTGCTCCCGGCCACCACCGCCCTGCCAGTCACTGGGCAACACACACCTCCAAAGGCAGCCTCAGCCACAATTCCCCCCTCCCTCCTTCTTCCCTCCTTCCTCCCTCCCTCCCTCCTTCCTCCCTCCCTCTCTTCCTCCTTCCTTCCTCCCTCCTTCCTTCCTTCCCTCCCTCCTTCCTTCCTTCCCTCCCTCCTTCCTTCCCCCCTTCCTCCCTCCCTCCTTCCTTCCCTCCTTCCTCCCTCCCTCTCTTCCTCCTTCCTTCCCTCCCTCCCTCTCTCCCTCCCTGCCCAGGCTCCCTGCCAGGTGCTGGAACAAGCCAGGTGCTCCCTGCCCCCGGCCTGCAGTCCAAGGGGTTCCAGCAGGTGAGCAGTGACCTGATGATTACAGGGTGAGGATCAAGAGAGAGGAGATTCGGGGCCTGGAGAAACAAGGGAGGCCTCCAAGCCAGCCTGCCAGAGCCAGGAGAGCACCCAGGGCAACAGGCCCCAACAGAACAAGAGCAAAAGGGAATAAGGAGACTTCCCTGCTGGAGGGACTGTGCACGGGGCAGGGATTGGGGGGGGTGAGGGACTGTGCACGGGGCAGGGATTGGGGGGGCTGAGGGACTGTGCTCGGGGCAGAGATCGGAGGGGCTGAGGGACTGTGCACGGGGCAGGGATTGGAGGGGGTGAGGGACTGTGCACGGGGCAGGGATTGGGGGGGCTGAGGGACTGTGCACGGGGCAGAGATTGGGGGGCTGAGGGACTGTGCACGGGGCAGGGATTGGGGGGGGCTGAGGGACTGTGCACGGGGCAGAGACTGGAGGGGCTGAGGGACTGTGCATAGGGCAGGGATTGGGGGGCTGAGGGACAGTGCACGCGGTAGGGATTGGGGGGGCTGAGGGACTGTGCACGGGGCAGGGATTGGAGGGGGTGAGGGACTGTGCATGGGGCAGGGATTGGGGGCGGTGAGGGACTGTGCACGGGGCAGGGATTGGAGGGGGTGAGGGACTGTGCATGGGGCAGGGATTGGAGGGGCTGAGGGACTGTGCACAGGGCAGGGATTGGAGGGGGTGAGGGACAGTGCACGGGGTAGGGATTGGGGGGCTGAGGGACTGTGCACGGGGCAGGGATTGGAGGGGCTGAGGGACTGTGCACGGGGCAGGGATTGGAGGGGGTGAGGGACTGTGCACGGGGCAGGGATTGGGGGGCTGAGGGACTGTGCTCGGGGCAGGGATTGGGGGGGCTGAGGGACTGTGCTCGGGGCAGGGATTGGAGGGGCTGAGGGACTGTGCACGGGGCAGGGATTGGGGGGCTGAGGGACTGTGCACGAGGGGCAGGGATTGGGGGGTGTGAGCTGTGTTCAGGGGCAGTAAACTGTGGCGTTGGCTAGTGAACAGGTGAGGAACAGGGATGGGGACGGGGGGTAATGGCCCCCAAAAAGCCACTGGGGCCGAGCAAGGGCGTGTACAGCACGTTCAAGACTCAGCCTTTCTCCTGAGGCCTGGAGACTCTGGCTCCACCACTTAGTGGCCCCTGACCTTGGAACATTTTATTAATTTCTCTGCGATCAGTTTCCTCCTCCATGAGACAGGGCCAACAGGGAGGAGCGGTTTCCCTGGGTTACCATGAAAACTAATGACGCAAGCCTGCCATGACGGAGCCGCACACCTCGGCTGTCTGCTCCCGGACCAGCAGGGGAAGGGGAGAAGCAGAATCCCAGGAATGTTTCAGAACAACACTCCCTGGTGCAAAGCAGCCCCTGTCACCGGAGCGTCCCTGTCTGAGTCGGGAGCCCACCCTGTCTGTCTGTCTGTCTGAAGCCCATTTCCCCAGGGCAGGATTTACTCCCAGTTCCACTGACATACGATGACACGACGGGGCTGAGGGTCGTGGATTCAGTGACCAGAGCCCCGAGGAACCTGTGACTCGCTGCCCCGACTGCACTGGGCCTGTCCAGCGGCGCAGGCTGAGCGGACACGGCGGAGCACCGGTCAGGCCTCGCCCCCCCCGCAGCCCCGCTTCACCTGGGGTCAGACGAGACAGACAGACAGACAGGAACGCGATCGGCCAGGAGGTGCTGAGATGAGAAGGATGAGGAGACAGCGAGGGGCCCTTGCGTCAGGGAACGCAGAGCTGTCTCTGCGGTGGTGATGCTGGGAGAGCTGGGACTGGCCTTCCTGGCAAAGCCCAGAGAGGCCCCATGTCTGAGCCCCCCAGCAGGTTGCGGTGTGGGGGGGCAGATGTGGGGCGGGTGGGGGGACAGGTCGTGATGTGGGGGGGCAGGTGGAGGGACAGATCGTGGTGGGGGGGACAGGTTGTGGTGTGGGGGGGCAGGTGGGGGGACAGGTTGTGGTGGGGGGGACAGGTCGTGGTGTGGGGGAGCAGGTGGGGGGACAGGTCGTGGTGTAGGGGGGCAGGTGGGGGGGACAGGTCGTGGTGTGGGGGGGCAGGTGGGGGGACAGGTCATGGTGTAGGGGGGCAGGTGGGGATAGGTCGTGGTGTGGGGGGGCAGGTGTGGGGGGACAGGTCGTGGTGTAGGGGGGCAGGTGGAGGGACAGGTCGTGGTGTGGGGGGGCAGGTGTGGGGGAACAGGTCGTGGTGTAGGGGAGCGGGTGGGGGGCAGGTGGGGGGACAGGTCGTGGTGTGGGGGGGCAGGTGGGGACAGGTCGTGGTGTGGGGGGACAGGTGGGGGGACAGGTCGTGGCGTGGGGGGGCAGGTGTGGGGTGGGTGGGGGGGAACAGGTCATGGTGTAGGGGAGCAGGTGGGGGCAGGTGGGGGGACAGGTCGTGGTGTGGGGGGGCAGGTGGGGACAGGTCGTGGTGTGGGGGAGCAGGTGGGGGGGCAGGTGGAGGGACAGGTCGTGGTGTGGGGGAGCAGGTGGGGGCAGGTGGGGGGGACAGGTCGTGGTGTAGGGGAGCAGGTGGGGGCAGGTGGGGGGACAGGTCGTGGTGTAGGGGAGCAGGTGGGGGCAGGTGGGGGGGACAGGTCGTGGTGTGGGGGAGCAGGTGGGGGCAGGTGGGAGGGACAGGTCATGGTGTAGGGGAGCAGGTGGGGGCAGGTGGAGGGACAGGTCGTGGTGTGGGGGGGCAGGTGGAGGGACAGGTCGTGGTGTGGGGGGGCAGGTGGAGGGACAGGTCGTGGTGTGGGGGGGCAGGTGTAGGGCAGGTGCAGGGCAGGTGCAGGGCAGGCGGGTCCTGGGGGGAGTGCGCCCCGCACCCAGCACCCACCCAGGCTCAGAGCGTGCGGTGCTGGGGTATCTCTGGGAGGATTCTGAGCAGAAAGGAGTGAGTCCCGTCTCCCCAGCACAGAAACGAAGGCGGTGAGGGCCCCTCCGGCAGTGTGTGCAGAGAGGACCAAAGGGAAGACAGGAGGAGAGCCGGGCTTCGGAGCACCCGTGTCCCACAGCCTGTCGCCAAATGTGCTCTCCTCCGAGGCTCCGAGGTCACTCTGAGGGGAGCGGCGAGCGCGCGGGGGGCACTCGGAACTCACATGGACCAGACGTCGATTTTGGGGCCGTATTTCTTCCTGGCGAGCAGCTCGGGCGCGGCGTAGGCGGGGCTGCCGCACTGCGTGCTGAACGGGTCCGAGTGGCCCAGGATGCCCGCGCAGTTGCTCAGCCCGAAGTCTGCAAGGAGGGAAGGACAACGGGCTCCGTTACCACGTGCGCACGTGAGAAGGGAGGGGTTCTCTCGGGCCCACACATCAACACGCACTCAGACCCTCGCAGCTGCAAGCTAGACTCTTGGCCCCGGGCCTCAAGACATGAGGGTGTCGGCGGGCGGCGCCCGGCGTCACCGGAAACTTCCCTATCGGGCCTCCCCGGGAAACCCAGCTTTAGCTGAAAGAATGCTGGACCCAACACGCGTTGCTCGAGTCTGAGAAATGAGTCACCCCGCAGAACGGGAGGCCCCGCTTTCTAGGCCCGAGGCTGGAAGGGGGCCTTGCGTGGGGCTGGGAGTCGGGGGTCCAGCGTCCAAGCGGCCAACTGGGGAGAAGCTGAAGGAAGATTGATCTTCTCTGGCTGGTGTCGGCGTCACCCCAAGCGACACGCAATCCCACTAGTTAGAGTTGATTTTTTTCAGCTGAATGTTTTCATTTCGTGCAGATCTTTTGAAAATGCTCCCAGTGCATGTGGGAACATATGGTGATGGGGGGGGGGGATGATTTAGACAACGCTGAGTGTTGGCTGCCAGGTTGACGCCAGAAAGACGGCAGTTGGGACGAGGCTTAGAGTCCCAGCGTCACTCTGTCCCCAGGACTAAGGCGACCCGGAAGCAGAGAGGAGCCTGGGGAACCTACAGCTACCTGGACCCTCCTGCCTCCGGTGTTTGCCTTTGATGTCAAGACAGGTAATTAGAGAGCACTGTTCTGCCCTCACCTGGTATCTCTCCCCGATCTCTGCTGAGCTCAGAATCAAGATCTCGGTTCCTCCTTTGAACTTCGATGTAAATACCATGGTTCTGGTCCCCCAACAGAGGACTCCCACAGGGCTCGGTCAGAAAGGGGCTGTGGTCAGACCAGTTCCTCGCCTGAAACAAAACCCTCGCACTTTCTCAACTGGCCTGATTTCCATCTGATTTCGGCAGTGTGTTTTCTCCTCGACTCGAACACGTTCCCACCCGCAAAAGGCACGGCTGTGGGGAGGCGTGGGAAAGCCCAGGAAAGGGGACACTCGGAGCCCGTGGCAGCATGACCGCGTGGGTCAGGACGCTTCAGAAACGTCTCCCAGGGGTCGGTGGGGTAAGCTGTCTAACGAAAGATCTTCCGAACCCCATCTGGGCAGAGCTCCGAAAACTCTTCAAGGTTCTGAAAGTCTCTGACCTGGGGCTGGGGACGAAGAGCCCAAACCTACCAGAAGGGCTGGCACGCCACCCCGAACGGGGACGCGCACACACTTAACTCCTCTCTCGTTTGTGTGGTCGTGACTCCTTTTTTTTTTCTAGTAACCTCTCTCCTCCTCTCTTTCTCTGCTCCCCACTCTCCCACCCCCGTCATGGCCCCCACTTCCTGTCCCAGGACCCAGCTAGCCCTGGCAGGCCTCACTGTCACCTGTCCAAAGCCCCAGGGGCCAGCGCTCGGCCCCACCCAGCAGTGTCACTGAACTGAAGGAAAGGGGGAGGGGTGTGGATGCTTTTATAAGAAGAAAAGTCACATTGAGCTTTACACTGGACGTTTGTTGAGATGCTTTCAGTTTGAAAATCGACCCGAAGAGCTCTGGCCGGTGTGGCTCAGTGGGCTGGGCATCTTCCCAGGGACTGAGAGGTCCCAGTTCGATTCCCGGTCAGGGCACAGGCCCGGGTTGCAGGCTCGATCCCTGAGGGTAGGGGGCCTGCAGGAGGCAGCCGATCGATGTTTCTCCCTCACATCCATGTTTTTCTCTCTCTCCCTCCAAAAATCAGTTTAAAAAAAACTTTAACGAAACAACAAGCACCCAACGGGAACCCACTCTGATGACGTGGGAAGATAGCATGTGGAATACAGATTCTATATTATTCGGGTAACATTTTAAGAGAAGTTTCATGAGCAGTCCATCTCCTAGGCGTTCCAGAAAACTCAGCTCTCGATTTCTGAGATTAAAACAAAAGACTCGGTTCGTAATTTCCACGGGGCTCCTTCCAACAAGAGCAGAGGCGGCCCCTTCCGTCCCTCCCTCTGCTCCTGGACCCTACAAAGACTGCTTGACAGCAGACAGGGCCCAGGAGAGAGATAAGAGGCCAGATCACCCCCGCGTGGTTCCCAGGCCAGTTTGGGAACACACACAAGCCTTCCTTATCTTAAGCACAGTTTCAAGAAGATAAACGAGCAGAGGGCTTGGGGAGCGGAGGAGATAAAATCTGCATTTGAAGGGACTTATGCTGACCTAGCCAACAGGGTTTCATTTAACATACCGTGTCGAGAAATAACCAGTGCGTTTCAGTCGTAATTGCAATTATTAAGGTTTTAGACATACGCCTATAATTAGGATTGTGAAACTGGGGAGCCGTTCCAGTAATGTCACACGGGCTGGCCTCAACTCGAGCTGGTCAACCCGAGGCAGTGGTCACTCGGTTTTCCGGGAGCTGCCCGGTGAGCTTGGAAGAGCCCCAGGCGCAAGGTGCTCTCTGGAGACGGGAGGGGCAGCCCTGCTCCCAGGCGGCTCCGCCGGTTTAAGATTGAAACAAACTATCGAACATCCAGCCGCTTTGTATCTGAGGGAGGTTAACTCTCGTCCGTTTGAAAAATGGTTTACGGGGCTTCAGTCCATTGATTTAAACCCAAAGCTTTCAAAGAAAGAAACCATTCAGAAGAAATGGTAGAAGAAAATGGGAGGAAAAACAACTAGGTGAAGTGCCTTTGAAAAAAACGTCCCAAGGGCTTCCAAGCGGCCAAAGGACAGTCACAGAGACATTGGATCCCAAGTGCCCAACTCAGGGGTGAAAAGGCGACACTGGGCATCCTTCCCTCCACCTGCCCTGGCCCACGTAGGGAGAAAATGAGGAGATGCAGATTCTGCCAGATAAACGCCTTTCCAGGCGCCCCACGGGTGGTGGGGTCCCCTCAGTCACGGTGACAGGGCTCTTGGGTTTTAGCTGCTTGGAGCCAAGTGGAAAGTCCCAACGAAGAGAAAGCAGGTGTCGGGGCCTCCTCCTGGCAGTTTCAGAAATTCTGGTTTCTGGCACCGGGTTTCTGGCACGTCCCAGTTGGGCTCAGAGCCGAAAGGCCTGTTTGGGAGCCGGTCCCGTGGCTGCCAGGCTGAGAGGGGGCGACAGAGGCACCTGATGAGCTGGTCCGCGGCCCTCGACGCCTCCCTGCGCTGCTGTCTCGATAACAGGAGAACGTGACACGTCCAACGTGACTGGAAACGATTTTAAAGTAGCAAAAGCATGACCCGTAAGAGAAAAGGAAGTTCCTGCATTGAAAGCCACGGCCACCCGCATCCAGGGACACGGGCTCCGGTCAGGTCCTCGTCCCTGCCTCTCATGTCTCAGGTTCCGCCATGCGGCCCGTCCGGAGGCTCCTGGACCTGCACCGGTCACAGCCGCTGGTTCCCCTTTCCAAGCCGTTTATTCTGCAACTAAAGGTCGGGAGAGCAGAGAGCCAGCGTGGGGCAGGGCAGAGGAGCAGGGAAGAGACACAGCAGTGCAGCCCCGGGACGCGGGCCCACGGGGACGCGCCCAGCAGCTGCGGCCACCGGCCTCCGGCTCCACTGTGCCATCTGTACGGCCGGCCTTCTCCAAGCCTGTGCGCCCACAATCTCTGCTGCCCCTTGACCACATTTTCCAAAGGTGATGGGTCAGCCTCTCTACAAGCAGCGTCCTGTCCTCCACTGCTCCCGCCCCCTGCCCCCAGGTCAAGCCTGGGTTTGGGCCACAGGTCCTGGAACCAGGGCCAGGACACAGCCCGCAGGCAGGCTGTGCAAAGCTGCTGTGTGGGGCCTCAGGACGACCAAAGTGCAATCCGATCCCAAACCATCTGATAAAAAGGAAATTCTTTGAATTGTTCAATAATCTTCCAAGCATGCATTCTTCAGAATCTTTGGTGGAAAAATCGGTTCCTGCTTAATTGCTAATCTTCTGCTAATGGGCGTATTCGTCACCCGGCCAGGGGCCTGGCAGCTGTCCCTGCAGCCCCTCGGTGGGAGCTGCGCCCCCAAACTCTCTAATCGGCCACTTGGATGACAGGCGGCAGGGTCCTGAGAAGGCTTTCAGTATCTGCCCCAAATGCCCTTCTCCAGGTCTGCTGACCCTGCTCTTCCCCGGAGAGTCTTTTCCGAGCCGTCGAAGGGGAGGAGTTCCTTGCACTTCAGGCAGGAACAGATGGAGGGGAGCCAGAGCTGGTGCTGCCTCAGGGACGCCCTGACTCTGCCGAGAACCACACCGGCAAACCAGGACGAAGCTCTCCGGAGCCCGGGTGCATTCCTTCCGGCCCCTGCTCTGTGACCCAGTTACGATTCACTCTCCCCTGGGACCCCCTTCTGATGGGCGCAGACGTCTGCGGGACCCCTCTGCTGCAGGACCCTCTGCCCTGAGGGGCGCGGAGAGGCACAATAAACGGAAGGGAGACTGCGTCGTCCCCTCCCCCCCAGGGGTGGCCCTGCAGTCACCAAAAAGCCAAGTAAGACAGGCGGAGCCAAGGGTAGCACTTTGAACTATTCTCACTATTTTAAGACGCGTTATGGTTAATCCAAATAAAAATAACCCCTACAAAAGTTCAGAACCGTCAGAGCGCGCGGAGAAGCTGAAGCTTGAATAATCCGAAGAACATGCAACCAACAAAGATTTATTTGGGGCTGCGGCCCCTTGCTATTACAGCATTTTACCTTCCTAACTATGTTTACGTTATTTTTTCAAGTCAATTTCCATTTTTAAATACTGGATGTAAACAGAAGTGATCTAGAAGCCTGGTCTGGGGATTAAAATCAGACCAGGAATAATTTTCTAAGTAAGACAGCAATAAACAAGTGCCAATGGATAGCACGATACTTAAAGGATAATCTGCTTGAAGAAGAAGAAAAAAGTCATACCAATCAGCTTGATATTATTGTCTTCATCCAGTAACAAATTTTCTATCTTCAAGTCTCTGAAATGAACAAAAACCACACAACATGTCAGAGGGGCATTTGAAGCGACAGAATCACATTTTGCTTCTGAAGGGAAGGCCAGGGTTCCCAAGCCGCCCTGAACCACCCCATAAAGTTTCCGCCAGAACATGCAGTCAGTAAGCAAACATCTGTCACACGTGACCCGGGGCACCGCCACGGACTAAACAGCCGAGGATCGGGAAGACGAGGCACCCAGAGAGAGCACGTCCGAGAACCTTCTGGAAGCAGTGGCACGGACACAGAAACCCAGGGGTGAACTAGAACACGTTTGGAGAGAAGGGGACCTGAGCTGTCGGGGGCACAGACGTGGCCGCGTGCCTGTGAGCAGCAGACAGACCAGACTCGGGGAGCAGTTGTAAAAGACCTGAATGCAGATAAAATGTGTCCTGCAGCCTCTAAGCGTGGAGTCCAAATGGGCAGGTGACAGGAAGTGAATCTCTCTAGTCAGCGGATCTTACGGTGGCCGAGAAATGGAACCCAAAGATGTCAAGGCCCAAACCCCCAACATTACACCTGACTATGCCAACCTCCCAGGACCACAGGGACGTAGGTTTGCAGATGGGGTGAAGATGGCCAGTCAGGTGGTGGGTGTCTCCGATCACTGATGCTGAGGTGACAGACAGGAGGACACGGGAAGGACAAAGGACTGAGGGTTGTGCGGGGTGTGGGTGCCGGGGTCTGTTGAGCTGGGAGCTCCCCGGGGGCGGAGAGTATGCCTGCCTGGCATGGACACACAGAAGACTCCTCCCTCTGCACACAAATGCTTTCTTCTGCTGTTTGTGTTGTTGTTGTTAATCCTCCCCCGAGGATCTTTCTCCATTGGTTTTTAGAGAGAGTGGAAGGGAGAGAGAGAAAGAGAAAAAAACCCATTTGAGAGAGACACATCAACCCTCACCAGGCTGGGATCAAACTCCCAACCCAGGTAGGTGCCCTAGACCAGGAATCAAACCCACGACCCTTCGGTCCTCGGGCCAACCCTCTAATCACGGAGCCAAATCACTGGCCAGAGCTCATCTATTATCTTTTTTTTTTTTTAAATCTTCACCCAACAGCATTTTTTTTTTTTTTTTTGCATTTATTTTTGGAGAGAGGAGGAGGGAGAGAGGGGGAAGAGAAAGAAGGAAACCTCCATGTGAGAGAGACGCATTGAGTGGTCGCCATCCACACAACCCCATCCGGGACCAGGGACAAACTGCAACCGAGGTACATGCCCTTAGGGGAACTGAACCCAGGACTCTCTGGTCTGCAGGCTGTCGCTTTAACCGCTGAGCCAAACCGGCCAGGGCTCATCTACTGTCTTAAATACAGCATTCTTGGTCCCACATTCATTTTCTCACTTTTGAATAGACACATGGGCGAAAGAATTCTTTTTTTTTCTTCTTATCTCTATTGTAAGAACTAAAATGGCATAATCATGCTAAACAAAAACAGCAACTAATGACACTTGGTCCAAGTCCTGAGACTGGGGGGACAGCTGGTAGGCTGGTGGCCGGTCCCGTTTCGGGGGGACAGTGGCTCACATCTCCATCCCTGCACTGCTGGCTCATGTACAGGAGGAGCTAGGAATCTGGATTCCATCCAAACTGTTCGATGTTGGCAACAAATTCACATTAAAAACTATTCTTGTTTTTTTCCTTGATTGATTTTAGAGAGAGAGGAAGGGAGAGAGAGAGAAACATCGATGAGAAAGAACAACGATTAGCTGCCTCCCACATGCCCCCCAACTGGGGATCGGGCCCACAACCTGGGCATGTGTCCTGGCCAGGAATCAAACCGACACTCAACCACTGAGCTACACCGACCGGACAACATTTAAAACTATTCTAACGCCCTGGCTGGGTGGCTCAGTTGGTGGAGCATCGTCTTATACACCCAAAGGTTGTGGGTTCAATTCCCGGTCAGGACACATGCCCAGGTTGTGGGCCCAGTCCCCAGTGGGGGGCCTGCAGGAGGCGGCCAGTCGATGTTCTCTCTCATCAATGCTTCTGTCTCTCTCTCCCTCTCCCTTCCTCTCTCTCTAACATCAATCAAGGGGAAAGAAAAAAAAACTTTTTAAATTAAATCAATAAACATATCCTTCAGTGAGGACAAAAACAAGCACAAGTGGGCCAGCCTCGCAGGCAGGACACGGGCTGCAGACTCCCCCTTCCAGGCTCAGGTCCAGGCGCGGCCCGGAAGGGAAGCCTGGGAGCAGCCCAGGGAGGCTGGGGCCCCGGGCTGACGCCGGCCTGTGAGGAGCCGGCACTGAGACTCAGCCGGGGGCGCGCAGGGACTCTCCGGACCCATGCCCCCCGGGGAGAAGACTGGTGTCCCTTCACTCCAACGCCAACGGAACACAGACTACGTCCAAACTGGGACAGCCCTGAAAAGGAACTGCATATACCCAAATGCAGGGTGACCCCGAATCTAAGGCGATCCTCCCCACTTTCCCAGCGGGAAGGCCCTGCCCTCAGAACAAGGTTTTTGGAAAACACAAATGTATGCTTTGTAGACATGCAATGAATCATCACGTGACTGTTTATGCTCTTCATCCACGAAGCTGTGCCATCCTATTTAAGAGCATATACTATCACACTGATGTAACTAATTTCAGAAATATTGTTGCCACACCCTCACCTTTTATGGGAAAAAAAATCATTAAAACTGCTCACAAGCAGGACAAGGACAACAGACACGGAGCGTGATCTCGAGGTGGGCTGATGCTCGTGATAAAGCGCGTTGTGGATCTCGAGTGACGCGCGTGCGGGAGCCCTCACCCCGAGCCGTTCCAGTAACAAGCACCACTTAAAACCTTGATAGATGGACACTCCGTGAGCTGTTTGCAGAGAGGTCTCGCAAACCCTGGCAATGGGGAGGTCTCCGGAAGCTGTTAGCAAAACCGCGGAGAAATGTCTTCCTCCCCTTCTCCTGGTTTCCTTGGGGGACTTTCCAAAAGCGGCGGGTGTCATCCCAAGCCGAGTCAAGGTTAATGTGTCTTCTCCGACCACGACTTTGTTGTTGACAGTGAAGTAACCGACATTGTGCCCCACCCGATGAGACTCTGCCAGGGCCCTGTAGGCACCTCACCTTCTCTGAAGATGCTCAGGGGACCCAAGATCCGAGCACACGGGACCCCGCACGCGCACACAGGCTCACGAGGCTCATGCAGCACAGGCGGGGTCCAGGAAAACCGATTCTGAAGCACCCCTGAAATCGACAGAGAGGCCCCAGTGTTTCCAGCGGATTCACCCCTTCCCCCCGCAGGAGTGCAGCCTCACAAAGGCACTGAAGAAGAAATTTGTTTCAGAACAAATACCGTGGAAGAAAAACAGCTTTAAAAAGTCAGGTCCCCAAAAAAGCAACTGCTCAGAAGAATAAAACTAAGCCGGATAATTCTACGGCCGCCAAAGCCTGGGGAATAGCCCCACGACGTGAAGGTGTAGATGGAAGACTAAAAATAAGACGCAAACGAAAAAATAAATCGGGGACAGGGGGAAGGTATAAGAATGTAATTATTAGGCAAAGCGAGAAAAACGAAATCCTTTAAGTCCCTGTGTCCCGCCCACTGCACAGCAACCCCCCAGCCCCCCAGGAACACACTCAGCACAACCTGGTGCTGGGCTGTTACCCTGTTATCTTTCTGTCAGCGTCTCTGACCCACGTCCACAGTCACCCAGCCCACAGCCTCACGGCTCCAGGGCTGGTCCTGGAGGGTGAGCTGCACGGGCCTCCGTCCACATCAGTGTACCTGACCTCCCAGGGGAAGGGGACATGCCACCTCCACAGGCTTCACTGATTCCCACGGCCTGTTTGTCTTCTGAAATGCATCCAGGAGGAAAGGAACCCTTCCCTTCTGACCCTAGGGAAACAGGGTCTATGAAGTCATATTTCTGCGAGTTCCTTTTGCCTGGGTATCTACCCAAACGAGTCGAAAATTTCCGGACGTGGCTGTTCACGGCAGCTTTATTCGTAGTCACCAAACTTGGGAGCAGCCGGGCGGCACGCAGTGGGGGCCGACACACGAACTGTGGTCCAGCCAGACCGTGGGCTCGTCCTCGGTGATGAGAAGGAGCGAGCTGTCCAGCCCCGAGAAGCTGTGGAGGAACCTCAGACGTGTCTAAGTGACAGAAAGCAGTCTGAAAAGGTGACGTGCTGTATGATCCCAAGCATATGGCCTTCTAGAAAAGGCAAAACTACAGAGTCAGTAAAAACATCGGTGGTTGCCAGAGGTTTTGGGAAGAGGGGACAAGCGGAGCTCGTTTTTTGTTAGGATGGTGAAATTATTCCTTATGACACTGTAATGGTGGCTGCATGACACCACGAGTTGTCCAAGTCCACAGAATGTACAACCCAGAGCACCCTAATTACCACGTGCCCCGATGTGCCACATGCCCCAATGTACGTGCCCTGATGTGCCACATGCCCCAATGTACGTGCCCTAGTGTGCCACGTGCCCCAATGTACGTGCCCTAGTGTGCCATGTGCCCCAATGTACATACCTTAGTGTGCCACGTGCCCCAATGTGCGTGCCCTAGTGTGCCACGTGCCCCAATGTACATACCTTAGTGTGCCACATGCCCTGATGTACGTGCCCCAATGTGCCGTGTGACCTAATGCACCAAATGCCCATGAGACTATCAGTATTGGCTCAGCAACTGTAACAAATGAACTATCTAAGATGTTCATTGTAGGAAAAAAGATGCAGAAGAGGTTGGGGACGGATGTGGGAACTCTGTGGTGCCAGCACCATTTTTCTATAAACCTAAAACTGTTCTAAAAAATACAATCAGCTAATGTTTTTAAAGTAGATGGGCGTGCGCGTCTCTTTCCTGAGCGATGACGACCTGGATGGCAGGGCTGCACCAGCGCCTGCTAGGGTGTGGCTCCGGAGCGTCCTGACCACTGGAAAGTCGTCGCCAGTCCACACAGCACCGCGGGCACTCAGACCCTCCGCCCACGTACTCAACAGCGACCTAAGAGGCCACAACTGATCCCAGAG